AAACAAAAAACTAAATAAGGTGGTTAATTTAGTAAAATATAGATGATCACTAATATCTATCTCAAGTTTCACAGTGTTAAAAGCCAAACCTACCCAGGCGCTGATATTCAATCTGACTCACAATCTATCCTTTAGGGTGTTATAGGTCATTAGGGTGGGCGTGTATAGAACTAATGCTAAAGAAAATACGTCGGAAAAACGTGTAAAAAAACATGACATGAGGAAAACTCGAAATGGTAGCGAAGTAAAAGAAATAGTCACAAAACATTAAATAGAAAATTTTAAAGAAATCGATAATACAACGGAAAGCACCGAAGCGTCTAAGAGAGAATCCTCCTTAAGAAAACAATAGACCACAATTAAAGAACAAGTTTTAGTGAAGAACGAAGAAGTAAGAATAAGACATGGATGACGACAGAGTTCTCAACAAATGGAAGAAAGAAGGAAAACAAGAACGAAACTCCATGTATAAAACATTACAGCGAGAGAAAACAGAGAAATATCAAGAACCAAACGAAAGAACTTGGAAAAAAAATGCCCAAGAAATCGAAATTTCACCGAAAGTAAATACGACGACTTCACGTGCTAAGAAGTAAGAGAAATTACAGGTAAATGTAAAACAGGTAAAAGGGACATAAGTAAAACTTGTTTAATGAACAAAGGAAGATACTCGTGGACAAAGAAGTATCAAATGATACCTGGAAAAATTACATAGAAATTTTTTTTTTGATGAGAGAGAGAACCAGCCCCAAATACTACGAAACAGACACACCTATACTATTGTGCAAGAAATAAGAGCAGCCATAATATCACTAAAAGAAGTAGAGCTCCAGGCCCAGACGGGAGACAATCTGAATTTCTTAACTTCTTGATGATAGAATCTTTAAGAGTACTAATGTAAAATCATCAATAAATATCTATGACACAGGCAATACCCAAAAGATTGGCTACTTCAGAATTTATTACCTTACCAAAGAAACCAGGAGCAAAAAAGTGCGGATAATATAGGCTAATACGTCTCATGAGGCCATACATTAAAACTGTTTTCTTAAAGCATTATACATCCGTAGAATATTACACGCTATGCTACTGCAGAGCATCGCAAGACACACAGTTTGGCATTCCAATGAAAGGGCAGTAGGTACAATAGGCTGCAGGCTGTTTTAGTCTACAAGTCATTATTTTCAAAGATGCAGAGAATGACATGCGATATTTACACCTGCTTTGTGGACTACCAAAAAAGCATTTGATACCGTTCAACACCACACAATGTATGGATTATTCTAACAAAAGCCCAAAGTGGAGGATAAAGATTCCGCGTAATAATACTAAATTTATACTGGAAACCAATCAGCCACAATAAGAACGAATTTTGGAGGTGAACCGTGCAACGGAAAATGATCCAGATTTCTACCGAGGGCGTTAGACAAGGTTGTATACTTTCCACCTATATTAGTTTAATCTATCATTCAGCAGGAAATATAATGAAGCCTTGAAAAATGCGAACATGGAATACTTCTAAATGGAGAACGCCTAAACAACATCGTTTATGCAGACGACAACCGTTTATTTTTGCAGACATTTTGAACGGGTTTACAGCAACAAATAAACAAAGTAAATTAAGTAAAGTGAAAGATTTGGACTTCAAGTAAAATAAACATAAAACTAAATTTATTGATCAACATCAAAATAAAGTTAGAGACGCTCCAACTACTTTATCATAATACACAGTAGGACCCGAGTAAATCAGTATAACTAACTTGGAACAACAGTAATAACAATGGGAACACTCACAGGAAATAAAATGTAGAATAGAGAAGGCTAGGAGTTCATTCAAAAACATTTGCCAAACTCTAAAAGCCACA